AAGGCTTCATCATAATAAATGTTCACTGTTCCAGTCGGAAGCCTATTATTTGGGACACATCGTTTTCGCAGAAGGAATCAAAACTGACATGGAGAAAATTGCAGCTGTCAGAGATTGGGCGAAACCAAGAGACAAAAGGAAAGTTAGAAGTTTTCTTGGACTGTGCTCATATCGAAAATTCGTCAAAGACTTTGGGCAAATTGCTAAACCCCTTCATCGACTAACTGAAAACAGTAGTCCATTTGACTGGACGCCAGATTGTCAAAATGCCTTCACGGAGTTAAAAAAACGTTTAACCACGGCACCCATTCTAGCTTGCCCTCGGGAAAAAGGACACTTGCACGAGTTCGGAAAAGATTTTATTGGGTCAATTACCGACAAGATGTAGAAGATTGGTGTAAGAAATGTGACCTTTGTAACGGCAGAAAAAGGCCCAAAACAAGAAGTCGAGGTAAAATGGCACAGTACCTTTCCGGAGATCCTTTCGAACGAATGCCATAGATATCCACGGACCACTTCCCTTAACAGAAAGAGGGAACAAATACTTAATGGTTGTTATAGACTATTTTTCAAAGTGGCCCCAAATAGTGTCTATTCATTCCTTATTAGGAAGCGACGACAGTAGCGGAAGCATTTATGACGAACGTTATTGCGAGACACGGATTCCTCCTGGAATTATATTCTGACCAAGGACGAAATTTTGAATCCGAATTATGGCAAGAATTGATGAAACTGTTAGGCATCAGCAAAACACGCACTACGCCGCTCCACCCATACCACAGAATACTTTTACAGAAGCGAAGGCACGTCAATTTTTGGGGTCCAAAATTTTTTGCGCATGATCAGGGCCGCCATTTTATAACCGGCAAAACTGTCATGTCACGAGTGTTGTTTTGATGTGTCAGGATCAGTCATTTATAATTTAGGATTTTTTTTTATCGAATTTAAGTGTATTTTAGTGTTTTCCTTTGTATATTTTTTAACAATTATTGAGTAAATCTGTGTTTAGTGCTTTCCTTTGTCTATTTTATGAACATTGCTCAGTAAACATGTTTTTAATCGAAGACTTTTTGTAGTATGTGCTGAGCTATTTACATATTTTTATTTATTTTATTAAAGCAAAATAATTTTTTAGTGAACTGATGAAATCTAAACGAAAGAGATGTGTTTATCGCCCATGTCTACCTCGAACGGATTCGAATACTAGTAATTTTTCATTTCCCAAAGTTTCCGAAAGGTATGCAAAATAAATTATGCAATTTAAATGACCATGGAGCAGATCCCATCGAGAACGGCTTCGAGTAAAATGAGTAAAACGAGGTACTTTTCAAATGCAGCAATGTTAACTGTATGTTATTTATTTGGCTATTTAATCAAAACAATTATTTTATTATCGTTTTTAAATCAAATTATATTTATGTATCTATGACAATGTATTTTGTATTTTTTTAGGTTTCCCATGTTGTTAAAAGCATGTAGTCGAGAAGACTTGATTAATATAACCAGTGAATAATTACACAAAAGCTACCAGTTGTGTAAAAAACATTTCCAGCCCAGTAGTTTTTCATTTGGATCAACTCAGAAATGTTTATTTGAAAATGTACTTTTGATAATATTCTGACACACACCCACAACAAATGAAATAATTGATCATTCTGAATGAATATGTACCCTACTAAATCCCACGACGATTTTCTCAGTACACCAGGTATTAAAAATAATATAAAAGTGTTGATTTTATGTATTTTTTTAATTTAAATATTTTTTTTAGGCCCCAAAAATATCTTTCGGTTGGGCCACAATTTTTAAACTAACCATTTGCAGATTAGTTAAATCTCAAGCGGAATTTAAAAACAAAAAGCCTCTAGCTAGAAGATATTCCAATGAATACAAGCAGTTTGCGCTTACCTTGTATTTTTTAGGACCTAGGGCATATTCCTTTGTCTAAAATTTTGTGCCTTTTGATGTGTAGGTATTTTTCATATTGATATTTTTATTAATCTGATTTTTGTAATATGTGTTTTTCGTATTTTGGTTTATTAAAATTAATAGTCAGTATGGGTACGTGTTTTATTTATAACAACCTTTTTCCTACAGTACTTTTCTTCAAATCTCAATTTACTTCATAGTTCTAATAATTGTGCAACTAAAAATGCAAATTTATGTACACAACAAATTCATATGATTTATAAACAAATCCTAAGTCGTCTGGATTTATGAAATACAGCTACGAGGATGTGCCATAATATAAGTTTTCCAAAATAAAGTCCTAATATGTATCATTGATGCACCCTGGCTCTATCTAAACGATTATCTTCATACAGACAAATAAGAAAAAGAGGTTACTGCAAAAGATGAGGGTCGACTCCACTCCCACGTTAATGAAGTGTTGCAATTACTGGACAACTCTGCACAAAAGACTCTAAAGAAAAGCCATTTGAGCTAGTGCTAGTGTAAAACAGTGTAATAAATCGATACGCCAATTATTGGTGATGCTTTTCTACCAACGACTACTAGATTAATTTTGTTTACAAAAATGGAATTGTAAAAAATCACAGAGTTGTCAAATAATTATAAGAGTATGGCGAAAGTCTTAATACAAGGATTGTTTATGGTATTATTGACATATGATAAGGTTCTAAAACACATAAAAGGCTTTCAAAATGACAGTTCGGAAGTATTTGCATTTTTAATGCCAGTTATTATCAGTTTAATCTATTTTTCTAGATCCAACTATCATAGTTGAAGGTATTTTTCAGGAAAGTATACAATTAATTAATACATCAATAATTTGTAATAGAATCCCTCTGTTAAAGAGTTAATGTTATCTAAAAAAAATTGATTAATTAAGTACAACGAGCATTCGGTCTGGTTCCTCAAGTAAAAACTCTTTTTTAGTATAGCGATCAGTACAATTTACTTCAAAATAAATTATTGTGAAGTCTTATTTTTTTCTAATTATATCACTAACCTTCAATTCAGAGAAGAAATAGTGGATGTTGCTAAATAAGTTTGTTACATATATTTAAATCCTTTTCTCAGTGTATTATCCGAATTTATAAGAATCTTGGTAATTTTTACCAGTGTAACAACCGGCAAGAACGTCAACTGTCAGCGAGTGTCACTTTAAATTTTGGCCACCCCGACATCAAACGTGCCGACGCAAGCCTTCATTTCTGTAATAGTGATTATTCTGTGCCCACACTCTAAAGAAATGGTAGAAAGACCATAGAATGATATGCCAGCATCTTTCAATGTTTGTCTCTGATAATCAAAAGGACTGGGACACTTTAATTCTTCTATTTCTGCTAGCTTACCGAAGTTCTGAACATGAAACGACCAGTTATACTTTATCCATGATCATTACTGGAAGGGAGATGGAACTTCTTCATGACCTTCTTTTTGGAAGGCAGCCTCCTGGTAAAGAAGAGGGCCGTACACTTCCCACGTACTTACAGAACTTAAGAGAAAGATTAGAGAAGGTATACGAATTCGCTCGGCAACGTTTGAAAGTTAATAGCGATAAAGCAAAAGCTAGATTCGACATTCAGGCCACAGGAACACATTTTAAGAGAGGCGATCCAGTATGGCTGTACAATCCCAAGCGTCGGAAAGGACTTTGTCAGAAACTGCAACGGAACTGGGAAGGGCCCTATACCATCCTCAAGAAAATCAAACGATCTATCTCATTCTGTTGTCAGCCGGAAGTAAACCCAAGGTAGTTCACATTGCAAAGTTAGCGCCATATCGTGGTCCAGATCCTCCCAGTTGGCTCCATCCAGGTCCCGGTAATCAAGTTATTCAAGGCGAATAACTAGAGAGGAGGGAGTAATGTTACGCAGCACCCTGCAGTAGCCCGCGGCTGTTATAGGAAACGTACGAATACAAAAAGAAGTGCAATGTTACTTATCGCCCTACAGTGTGCTGCGGACGTCATAAGTAAAAGTACTAGCAAAAGAAGATAGAATAGTCCAGAAATGTCTGGGAATGTCATTCGACGTCAAGGAAAAGTCTAGACAGTTCGAAAACATAATTTTTTAAATGCCTAAACAATTCTAAATTGACTAAATTTAAAAAGAATTAGTTTTAGATACATAAATCACAATAAGAATTTTAAAATTTGGCAAATCGCCTGTCCAGAATAATATTGTATTAATTTCATTATGTAAATTTTTACAGGAAGGAGAAATTATGTAATGCATATACCTATATTAGCGAGAATATATTAAATTTTGAGTTTCCATTCTGAAACGAATTTATTTCAGGCAGAACCACTCAAATAAAGGACTTGTGATTTTATTAATGGGTTTGTTTTCTTGATTTTTCCAGATAAAGACGTTTTCGTGGAAACTAAAAGTTTTCTTTTATTTCAATTAAGTTTCCGGGTATTTTTATTTTCTAATGATGTAGAAGTCCAGTAAGTCAGGTATTTTATTTCTGTCGGTTGGCCAATAGGTTGGTTTTCCTGTTGACTGGTGGTCACACCCAATTTCACTTGCGGCTGCATGCAATTCCCTACCTTTGGTGATTGTTAATCTCGACCCACAGATGATATTTTTGTCATTAAAATCACCTTCCAAGATACAGTTTTCTCCCATTTGTCGTAAAAGTTCACTGTTTCTTTTTTCAAATCTCACCACGCGACGTGTTTCCTTACAAATTATGCAAATTTCCAAAGAAATACCAAAATGCTCTCAAAAATACTCACCTCTTATAATATTAACCTTGAAAATCCACATGCCATCAGACAACACCATTTTCAACATGAGTTTTGATTTTCCAGATTTTTGTTTCAACACAACTTACTCATGAAGACCAAAACCATTTTAACACGTTACTTATAGTCACAGAACATGCCATATACTATTTCTAGTCATTAAATAAATCATAACAAAGGAGAAATGCGTATATATTTTAATAAATGTAAAAAAAGTGTCTAATGAATATAAATAAAGATATGTATTCATCGAAAAAAGATTAATCCACAAAAAATATTTCTAAAGTAATCCATGACCAACAAAAACAGAGATACAAGTCATATCCGTGATAACAATGAAGCATCATGCTTATAATTACGGACGGCGCTGAATTAAATCCAAACTGAGTCTTAAAAAAAGAAAAATTGAACGCTCTGACATACGTGAATTTTTCCAAGGAACATTTTTAGTGGATCACTACATACACATTAACTAATTTGAATCGATTTGTATATTATTATTTAACAGACAAGATTCGAGCAATGAAAATTTATGTATTTATGTACGTAAGAACATTGGAATGACAAAGAAAATACTATACAAGAACTAGAGAGTTCAAGTATAAGTAGAGAAAGTAACTATACTCCAGGCAGATATCGTGAGCTCCCCTATCTCCAAATTGAAGAGGTCATGTGTGCTGTCTGCAAAAAGATGAAGAAGTAGAAGAAGAAAAAGTAGGAGAAAAATTGGTAATGGTGTTATATTAATAGATCCTTAGGAGGTTCTTTACCACTTTTTCTTGATGTTTGACTACCTCGCCCAGGTACCTGATTACAACGTTCCGATACGTGACTACCACGTCCTGATACGTGACTACCACCTTCGGATGCGCGACTACAACGTTCGGATACGTGACTACCACGTTCCGATGCGCGACTACCACGTGCTGAGTCGTGAGAACCATGTTCTGATTTGTAACTACCATGTTCTGATCCTCCTGATAAGACACTACCACGTGATATGTGACTGCCATGTGATATGTGACTGCCATGTGATACACTAACAGGTGATGCGCGACTACGTACTAATGCTTCCGATATGCGAACACTTCGTTCTGAATAGCGACTGCTACGTCCTGATACGTAACTACCAACATCTGATTTTTGATCATATGTGTCTACGTAACTAACACGTCCCGATGCTCTGCTTCTACGTTCTGATACCGTACTTTTACGTTCGGATATCGCACTATAATCTGTTACGTCACTAATAAGCTCTGGTTTGCGACTTGGATCCGATTTCTTACTAATTTGTGATTTCTTACTAGTTTCTGATTTTCTACTAATTTCTGATTTTCTACTAATTTCTGATTTTCTACTAATTTCTGATTTTCTACTAATTTCTGATTTTCTACTAATTTCTGATTTCCTACCACGTTCTGAGACTTGACTGTAACGCTTAGTTTTACTTTTTTGCTTTGAACTTGTAGAAGCGTCAGTTACTACCATGTTTAACACTTTGTCTAAAATAAAAGCAGCAATCGCTGTGGGACTTTCTAAATCCGTGACATCACCAAAATCAACATGAGGTATAACTGTATCGTAATCAATTGTAACAGTTTTCGATTCTATAGATGGCTCTCTTGAAATAGCTTCTTGCCCAGGTTCAGATATCTCACATGGGATAAATTCAGGATTAAGTAATTTTTGTTCTTCTGTTAGTGTCATCATAATTCTACGAGTATAATAACCTTTGTAAGCTGCTTTTATTAAGGTCGCAGCTCGCCTGGCTTCTTCGTTAGTTACTCCTGTTTGCCTGTATAATTTAATGGCGCTTCTGGCTGCAATTCTCCAATCTATCATTCCAGTAAGTAGAGTTTTTTCGGTTTCTTTTCTTTGTTTAAACCTTCTGTATGCCCTTTGAATTATTGCTATTGACTCCTGCATTGCACCTTCTTCTAATTCAACATCACTTAAAATGTCGCTTATCATGTTAGCTTCATCTACGTATTCACCTTGTTCGAGTTGACTAGCATTTCGCTCGTCAAAAACTCTTTTTTTAAATTGACGATCCATGATGCCTACAACTTTGTCTACTAGAGATTTGTGCATACCGGTTTTTTGTAAGAACTCCATCGTAGTTTCTGCTATCTCTGTAACACTCTGGATCAACCTGGCTGCGACTCGAGCATTCTCTCTGGTGAGAAGCAAGGCTTCTAAATAATCGGCTATAAAGGCATACATATTTTGTGGTTGTGTTCTTAATACTTCTCTGGATATATCAGACATTAATTCTTTCAATCCGTCTGGAATTATGTAGATACATTTTGCTGCATGTCTTTGTAATGTTGGATCCATTTTAGCGTTCTTTCGGGATTAAATTTATAAAGTATAAATTTAAACAATAATCAATAAAAATTATTGACATTATATATTTATATGACAAGCATGTCAATAAAAGCTAAATTAATGGCACAGGATAAAGAACAATACAGAAAAGAAACATAGGGCTAAAACAAGAACCTAGCAACCGAAGCCACACCTTCTTCATGGTGGAGCATTGTCAAAATTGAACCGTATATTTGTTACTTGTTCGAAGTGCAACTGTGCACACTTTTATAGCAGATGAATGAAGCTGTCACTGCTGTCGCTGTTAGAAAATCAATATTTTTTCCTGTCGTGTCTTTATTTGTCGTTTTGGATTTTTGGTTGTTTTTAGCGAACATTCTGATAACTTTTACGTTTTTTTAGTGGTTTATTTTTAGTTTTTGTTGATGTTTTTAATTGTGAAGTTGGGGGCCTGTAAACATAACGGACACACGAATTTCGAAAAAATTTTTTAACTAAAAAATAGTACTAACTGTATATATGAAATAACAAAAAACAAATTTGCGGGTTACGCATAAATAACAGAGAAATTTGAATTTTAACCTTCAGATTTTGGTGTTTCTAACCTAACATTTTTTCAATTTTCGTGTAATGTATGTGCATGGTTATCAAGAATTTCAATTTTTAACAAAACCCAGATTAATAATTGACAGAATTCAATAGGTTTGAATATAGGCGGTTGTCATATATTGTATTAGGCATTCCTATGAAGACTAGAGGTAAGGAGGCGAATCGGCATGCTCAAAATACGGTCCCAAAAATCACACGTCAATTGAGCTTTTATAATTAACCACATGGGCGCTAGTACGGTTTACGTAGTTCGAAATACATGGCTTCTTATGGGAATTATACATAATTTTGTCAAAATAATAAAAAAAACTTGTTTACAGCTAAATAAAGCACAGAACATACTGTTGTATTTATCTCTAAATAAGTCTTGCATGTTTTAATTGATAAATTATTTAATTTTATCTATATAAAATACAATTTTTGGTATAACCAAATTCGAAAAGGTTTCTAAATTGCTGAAATTTGATAAGTACAATTTTGTGGCAAATTTTTTTTTGAACCAATATATAGTTTAAAGAGTAAAATAAAACACAGTTAACAGATTTTTATTGTTGTAATACAAGTATAAAGGGAGATTTGAGAATGTACATGGTATTACCTCATCCTTTAATTTCAGCTGTCCCCTTTTTATTTTGCTAACAGTACCATTAGTTAAAATAGTCTCATCAAATTTTAAAATATCATCTTCTAAAAAGTGTAGCTTGCAAACAGAATCATAACTAGACAGTACCTTCTTTATCATCCCTAGGAATCACATGCTGCCATTGTTCTAAACGTTTAGGATCCTATAAAAAATATTTGCAATGACTAAATTGAAGTTCAATAAAGAAAAATAACAGTAGTAACTCTTCATCTAAAATCAAAAAATATAAAAAAGCAAATTTTCCTTTCTAGTAAGACTCCGTAAGATACGGGTTGTGACTATTTTACAATAAATATATATTATTTAGAAATAAATACATTATTTTACTTACACTAGGAGCTTTAAAAAGACTTGGATTTTTATCTCCTTGTGTTTTCATTAATTTTATTTTACAAATTACGACCGCCATCTGATAACAAAATGAACTATGCTCCAAAGACATGTAACAACATTGTACTTTACCAAATTGCACCTGTGCCAATCAGTAATCCAGAGCAAAGTAGTTAAAAAAATTATTTTATATTCAAAAAATTACATGAGACATGACAGCGATAATTGTATTTTCACTGAAAATTACAATTCCAATTCATTGTGAACCTAGCTTTTAAACCTGAATGATTATTATTTTTACGTAACTTTGGCAGAGATAGTCAATAATATTTATAAACTCTTGTTAGACAATTCTTTTAAACCATAATCATAGTAGTTTTTTTGTCGTTTCTATGACAACCTGTAAAAATGAATCACAACAATAGGCATAGAAATAAATTTTTAAATCAGCAAAAATTGATTCATATTTTTAATGATTTTTATACCTACTAATCGTATGTAGATGTTTTTGTGCGATGTTGAGGAAGAAAATGTTTCCCGTTAACGATATATATCAAGATATATTTGAATATGTTATTACCTGGAAAACTTCAAGGGCAAACAAAATTAGCGCTGTCATGCCTTATGTGATTTTTTTAATATAATTTTTTTTTAAACACTTTGCTCAGGATTGGGATTGTCACAGGTGCCATTTGGTAAAGTAAAATGTTTTTACAAGCTTTTGGGGTATATTTTATTTCATTATCAGATGGTGGTAAAAATTTACAGTGGGCTCTTGGGCTATTATGATTTGATTCTGTATGCGCCAGGGATACAAATCCGAGTTGCGCAATGTATAAACTGGAACATTGAGATCAAAAGTGCCGACGCAGAGTGAGCGAACTGATTCTTTAGCTATAAACTGTGACCATATACTGGTGGTCATCATCAATTAGACATACCTTCACAATTATTAATTTTTTTATGGTATATGGCAGTGCAAGATACATTAATTATTATAGAAACAAGATTCCTTGTATCTCCAACAACTGTAATGAATGTTGTCAACAAAATTCTTTTTTTAATGCCGAAATTAAAAAAGCAGTTCATAAAGTTTCCATCTACAGATGAAGAATTATTAGAAGTCTCCAGAGGATTTAAAAATTATCCAGGTAAGTCTAAAGTTTAAAGTATAAAAATACAGTCTCTACCTTTTTTATTTTGTAGGTGTAGTAGGAGCATTGATCTAACCAATATTTTTATCAAGGTAAAAAAAAATCAAGAGGAAGGTTACATTGA